TCTTTTAAACAGATAAGCTACGTTATAAGTTATAAAAAACGAAATTATACAAAAGATAACAACAATAAAACCAAGGATAAATGAATATGTCCACAAAGTTGTTTCTGCTGCTTTAAATCTTTACATATGCGTCTGGAGTCTGCAGCATCCCGTCAGCAGTCCTATGATATTAGTCCTTAGATGTCCTAAGTTTATTAGTTTTGCCGTTACTTTTACGTTGGTCAAGAAATGATCTTGGTTACATGTCTCTTTCCTGAAGTTCAATGGCATTACCATTTTTGGACGTTTAGTATTCTGCAAAAAGGTTCGGGGCGTATAGGAGACCCGTCGAATTTCGTTGGGTGATTTATCGGCGTTCTCGTTGCTCCTCCCTGTGTATCTGGTAGATTTTTATTCTTCCCAATGTTTGGCAAGGTCTTTATGTAGTATGCAACTGTTCTGAATCTTACTACCGATGAGGTGGGACTTTAGTGCAGCCTGGCTGTCGGATACTTTCGTTGGTAATACCCATCCTTTTGATATTGGAACCGTGCTCAATAGCTACAGTGTGTACAGTCGTCTTGTAAGGCCATACGATACCAGCTCCTCATGATCTTAGTACCATCTGTATACCATATGAGGGGTATTCAAGATGTTAACTCGTGTTAACTCGTATAGAGAAATGTCGAGTAAGATCGTGAACGCCATCTTCTTATCTTAGCATGTTAAACGTTAATTTGTCCGAAATGCTCCGCGTGGCGACTGGTAGAACCAAAAATAAAGCTATAACAGTCCTTGAAGGCTTGTTGTTGTTTGTTTTGGTTTTCTTTTGTTTTAAATTGTAAGATGCCAGAAGTTAATAAAAAAGGAAAATTAATCAACTCTTTCATTCAAAATGCTATCTACGAACTCGAAAAGTACTAACAAATGACATGCTTCAATTCGTGCCGACATACTTAACTGGTATCCTAACGTCTAACTTTATAGGATAGGGAATGTATCTATTATGAATGAGAGTATAAGGACAGGTCAGAAATTAACAAAAGAATTAATTTAGAAATTAATTAATGCGAATTGAAGAATAAAAATACGTGTAAACAAAAAACAGCTGTTAAATTCATGGCTGCCATGTTGGTTACCTACGTCCTAACGGCTAGCAATGTGACTACATTTTCGAGCTAACATCTAACATTGGCCCTGGCCTGTTAGATCGAGCAATGTTATCAAGCCGATTCTTACATGTCTAGGTCATCATTTTTCTCGATCTAACTGGACCTAACAGAGTTAACACAAAGATCGTGAATACCCCTATGATCGGCATTAACTGGCATCCCGTTCTTGCAGTCTTTTCGATAGGGTGCGATAAGGGCGTTGAGGATTATAAGAGTGGGACCTTACGGAGTTAGAATCAGTCTCACAAGGTGGACGGATAGCTTGGAGTTGTAATTGTGAAAACGGTTTTGGACTAGGCATAACCAAGAATGGGATATCTAGATATTTTTTAATCAAAATAGATTTTTGATGCAGAAGGACCGTTAAGGAGGCAGCAGGGTGTGAGCATGTGTAAGAATATAAGAATTGGACTGATTAAATATTTGGTGATTCCGGTCCAAGTAGGAGGCTGAGTTTTATTTTTCATTGAGTTCTTGTCTTTTTATTCTACGTCGTACCCTATGTAGGGTCCAATGTAAGCTATCAAAGTAAAACTGAACGTACCGAATATTGTTTGGACGGAGGGATTAACTTCTGTACGTCCACTAGTTAGGGCTGACGTTTGAGCGTAAACCTGTTTATTTAACTTGATCCACCATCGGAGTGTGTGAATAGGATAATGAGATTTGTATCCTACAATGTCTGCGAGTGTCAGCAGTATAGATTATGTAAATGATTGGGCCTTGGATACGTCCTTGCGGAACGCCAGCTGAGCCTGGAACCACACCTGCGCACATAAACCGTCCATTGTCCATCATGCCATGGGTAGCTAACATTCGCCCATAACACAGCACTTGTTATTTTTTAAATTTATTTTTATATATTTTTTTGTATGTAACCTATCAAACTACTGCATTTATTTATTTGTAGATTAATAATATAAAAATAAATAGGAACAGCGAACTAGAAAGAATTTACCCGAAATCGACACATCTTATCCTAGCTTGGATTGACCGAAAAGGACGTGTTCTTCATGAAAAAAAACCAAAACTTGCTCCGTCAGGTTATTGCTCATTTCGTTACACGAATAAAAATAATTTTGTTATAAATGATGGGTTTTTGATATATAATCATAAACGTATGTTCTATATATTTTTATAGGAAAAGCTTAATCAGGGAATTGCTTTCCTAATTCAATTATATGCTGTGAGCGGTTCGTGGAGTTTGACAAAAGGCGAGGTGTTAAATCATATCGTTCTCCCTCCGGCCCCATCCAACATTTTGTTTTACAAACAACAAGGAGGGTCGTGTCAATTGCCCGAAGTCATAATTGTGATTTAATATTCACCCAAAGGGATTTTTGATAATTAAAACGATGATTTTAGCGTTAACTTTTTTGGAACAGTTTTGATTGTCTTATCAACTCAGTTTCATACGCACGTGACTAAAATTTTTAACCATCGATTCAATTCAGTGAACAATAAAAACTGATAAGAATAATTTACAGGGTGCCGAATGACAGTGAATGTGATTATTTTGTATTTTGTTTTCAATATTTCTTCGTTTATTTATTTATTTTTGTTTTGTATGTTAAAACGAATGATTGATCACCGGTTACTTAGTACCGGCTCGTGCTAGTCAAAAACTCATATCGGACGGAATGAAATATATTTTCTTTGCATCTTTTAAAAGCCTTCCGTTATTAAATTATTATAAATTTTTTCCTTCTTTCTGGGTTTGGACTTTTCTTTCAACAAACGCTCTTCAATCACTTTGCCAGACGTTTGCGTTTTGCTGCGGTTTATCTTTGTTGTTGATAGGGCTATCGGCCCATTGTAGTCAGCAGTTTTTATATATACAATAATCCCTTTCCTCGCTCCTTTAACCCTTATTGTACCCGCATTAAAAAGATTTTGAATATTTATATTTAATCCACGAGAATATTTTTTAAGAGAGCGGACAGGAAACAGAACAGAAAATAATTTTTATTTGCATATGTGTATAAATATTGAATACAATATTTATATTAATCCATATATGTATTTAGTAGTCGTAATTGACATTCGAAAAAAAGAGGGAAAATTCGAAAGGTTGTAGGTTGAGATGAGTTGGTGTTAGTTGGTGTCCGAGTAGATCGAAGTCAAGATAGCTCAAGCGGTTGGAGCGTCGGCGTATTGCGCCGAAGGTCGTGGGTTCGAATCCCTCTCGTGACAACTTGCTTTTTAATCTCAACCAAGACCTTAGATCAAATTATAATTTAATTATAATAATTATAAACAATATTTGTTTATTTAAACAATTTATAGTGAAGCTTCTGTCTGGCGACACTAGTGAAGTGACATTTCAACTTTTTTTCTTTTAGGAGTAAAGAATTAAACTAAAAACCCCGAAATCTTTGCCAAATTAGTGGGGGAATTATACTTTATTCTCCTCTACACGTATTTATCTGCCGTTCAAGCTATAGTTGCCTATTTGGCAGCAGATTTTACAAGACTCGGCTGCATAGTTGAACCTGTTGTTTTATTGTACATATCCTCCAAAAAAAAGGAGTAGTGATATTTATAGAGGTATTGTGTTAAAATAAACCAAGAACAGGATGGAGCCTTGACGAAGGCTAGTAGCAGTGTTGGTCTAATGGTAAAGCGACGATCGAAAGGAAACTCGGAATTGTCAGCATAGTACGTATAGGTGAATTATTTTTATTTTGTATGTAGGGGAGTAATATTCCATCATATTTCCTAGCTGAACAGTGATACCTAGTTTTGGCGTTAAAATCTGGCATAATGATGCGTTTTTCATTCAGTTTCGTAGCGATGCAGGTACCCCTTCAGCCTTGTTGCTAAATAGGATAGGTTTATAACTGTTCATCGTTATGGGAAAAATAACAGGGTAAAATAAAATAACAAATGTCAGGATTTATTGAATGAGAAAGGTTCATGTTTAGATGACCAGTCGGTATTGCATGAATGGGGAATAATCGGAAATGAGAAGAGAAATAAAACGACCTTTTATTAAAGCAGCAAATATTTTCCGGAGCAATATTTGTTAATGTATGTTTTTTTTAATAGATCTTAGGCAAGAATAAGAAGCCTTTTGGCGTCGAATTAAGGTGGATTTTCTTTTTGCAATCTAACCAGAATAAGAAATTGAAAAATAAATTTAGTTATGGGTGTCTGTTCAATTAACAATTCTTTAATTCACTACTTTCGTGGTCCGCTTGACCAATTAATACATGACAATTAATTAAGGTTTTTAGTTGAGATGAAAAAAAGTTAATGGTACGAGAGGGATTCGAACCCACGACCTTCGGCTAGATACGCCGCTGCTCTACCACCTGAGCGATCGTGACCTTGATCCACTCGGACATCAACTCTCCATCTCAACCTCAACTCCCCATGTCCGAGTGGATCGAGGTCACGATAGCTCAAGTGGTAGAACAGCGGCTATCTAGCCGAAGGTCGTGGGTTCGAATCCCTCTCGTGCCATTAACTTTTTTCATCTCAACTAAAAACCTTAATTAATTGTCATCAATTAACAATGTTGAATTTTCAAAGTTTATCATTCCTATTTTACAAGATCAAGACTTTCGTATTAAATTGGCTTTTTAAAGCAATCCATATAACTTTTACATTTACCTATAAAAAATGTATATGTTCATATTGACGTAAAGTTATATAATAAAGTATAGGTGTAAAACTTTATAGCTCTAAGAAATACTCATAAATTGAAATGTTTCTTTAGAACGTAAAATATTTTTTATTTTATTTATTACTTGAATTTATATTGCTTGAAAACATTATCTTTAAATAATATAATCGTTTTTGTATTTTTCTGTTACAGATCGCACCAATGGGGCTAATTTTGTGAAGATGGGAAACCACTGGAGACTTCTGGTGACTTGGAGTCTCATAGGAGCTCTGGCCGCTTCGGGACCAGACGAAAACACTCTGCATTTCAAATTCACGCAACCCGTGTATAATGTCACCATACCGGAAAATTCTCTCCGTAAAGCCTTCGTCACCCCACAAGAAAAAATGGGCATCGTCCGCGGGGACGTCAATATGGACGTCAGGTTTAAAATCGTGTCAGGGGACAAGGATAGATTTTTCAAGCCGGAAGAGAGGCTCGTCGGAGATTTTTGGTTTCTGCTTTTAAGAACGCGAACTGGCAACACTGACGTCCTAAACAGGGAACGAAAAGATAAATACGTCCTCGAAATAAAAGCCAACGCGACTAAACGTGACGGGAAGAAAACTATCCTCGCTGAAGCGGAAACGACTGTTATTGTGACAGTTCTTGACGTCAACGATTTAAACCCTCTTTTCTACCCCACGGAATACGAGGAAATAGTGCCGGAAGACTCGCGATTGCACGAAAGCATAATTAGGGTTTCAGCAGAAGATGCTGATTTGGGGAGGAACGGTGAGATTTATTACAGCTTCAAAGAGAGGACGGAACAATTCGCCATCAGTCCCACAACGGGGGTGGTGACGCTAACGCGCCCTTTAAGGTATTCGGAAAAGGCTGTGTACCATTTGACCGTTTTAGCCCAAGACCGAGGAGCAGGCTTTAAGGGGGGTGGAAAACCGAGCACTGCAAAGCTAAAAATCATAGTAAAACAAGTGAACCTCTACGCACCTGAGATCTCCATTCACCATTTGCCGGACATAGTAGAAAATTCCAACGCACATATTTACGCCATTGTGAAGGTGATCGATCGAGATGCTGGGATTCATGGAGAGATTAGGAGTTTGGACATCGTAGACGGCGACCCCGATGGCCACTTTCGGATTAAACCGGGTTTTTCGAAAAATAGACAAGTCGCCGAATACAATATCGAAGTACTTAAACTTTTAGACAGAGAGAAGTCGCCTCGCGGTTATAACTTGACATTAAGGGCCGTTGATAGAGGTATACCCCCACGTGAGACATACACTTCCGTTCCTATTCGAATAGCCGATTTGAACGACAATTCCCCGATTTTCGACAGGGAAATCTACGAAGTCGACATTCCAGAATCTGCACCGGTCAACTCTCCTATAATTAGGTTAAAAGTGACTGACGCCGACCAAGGGAAAAACGCTCAAACGTTTTTGGAAATAATCGCCGGGAACAAAGACGACGAATTCTACATAAACCCGGATACAGGGATGCTTTACACCAACGTCAAAATGGACGCCGAATTGAAATCTATGTACACTCTTACGGTAACGGCCCGCGACCAAGGTAATACGGGCACGAGAAAACAGTCTTCAGCAAAGGTGAAAATAAACGTCGTGGACGTGAACGATAACGATCCTTTATTCGAAACTGTGGACATGGAAGTGAACGTCTCTGAAAACGAACCCATCGGGACGACAGTGGCAAAAGTCACTGCCAAAGATAAAGATTCTGGAGAAAACTCTTACATTTCATACAGCATAGCCAATTTGAACTCAGTCCCTTTTGAAATCGATCATTTCACCGGTGTCGTGAAAACTACGCAAGTTCTGGACTATGAATCGATGAGAAGGACTTACGTCTTACGAATTCGGGCTTCAGATTGGGGCCTTCCCTACAGGCGTGAAACGGAAACTCAAATGAGAATTAACTTAAAAGACATAAACGACAACAGACCCCAGTTCGAAAAAGTCGATTGTTCCGGCCAAGTGTCGCGATTCATTCCGATCGGCAGTGAAATTATCACACTATCGGCAATAGATTTCGATGCGGGAAACATAATCAGTTATAGGATCGTCGGTGGTAACGAAGATAACTGTTTTTCATTGGATACGACTAGCGGGGTCGTAGCCGTGACCTGCGATCTGTCAGATATCGGTGTCAACGAACGTGTATTAAACGTAACCGCCACAGACGGAACGCATTTTGCCGACGTTGTCAGTGTTATAATTAAACTGGTCAACTACAAAAGGACGTCCAAGCCCCCGCGGCTAGACGCCATCGATGACACGAGCGGATTCGACTGCAAAGACACCGGTGTCGCGCGGAAACTGACCGAAGTGCTGGCCGCTTCCGATAGAAGTAATTCCAACAATCTGGGACGAGAACACGAAGAATTCGCCATGATGCCGAGTCGTTATGGCGGAAACGTCCATGCCCCCGAGTTCTCGAATTTCCCTGTCAACATTCAAGTCAACGAATCAACGGCTATCGGGACGGTACTCGTCAGGATACGGGCTAAAGACAGGGATCTGGGATATAACGGCAAGCTGATCTACGGTATATCCTCTGGCGATAGCGATTCCGTCTTTCGTCTGGATCCCGATTCGGGAGAGCTTAAAGTCGTCGGCTACCTAGACAGAGAAAGAGAAACAGAATACATTTTGAACATAACCGTGTTCGACCAAGGAAAACCGCAGAAGTCGAGTTCGCGGATGTTGCCCATCACTATACTGGACGTAAACGACAACCCGCCGAAATTTAAAACCAACTTGGCAAGTTTTCGAATTACGGAAAACGCGTTGAACGGTACTGTATTCTTTAGAGTCAACGCGACAGACATCGACGAAGGGGACAACGCAAACATTTTTTACAAATTAATCACCGACACGGATGATTTCAAACTGGATTCCAAATTGGGAACGCTGTTTGTATCGGCTCCATTAGACCGGGAGCGTCAAGAAGTCTACGAATTAGTAATCAGAGCGACAGATTGCGCGGGCAACCCCGGTTCGATCACAGCCCTCCATTCAGACGCTATAATTAGGGTAATAGTCGACGATGTTAATGATAACGTACCGTCGTTTTCCCTTCCGTCATACACTGTAAAAGCAAGAGAAGACGTCCCTGTTGGCAGTGTAATTGCAGTACTTAGTGCCAACGACCCCGATTTGGGATCCGGGGGAGAAATAAGATATTCTATAATTGGTCAGACCGATGGAGATAACGTTTTCGTCGTTGATACCCTAAGTGGTACGATACGCATAACGAAGCCGTTAGATTTCGAAGACAGACAGGTGCATTCTTTTACCGTCAGGGCGACCGACCGCGGCACGCCGGCGTTGTCCTCGGAAGTCACCCTCATCGTCGAAGTCGTCGACGTCAACGAAAACCTGTTTCCTCCCGTTTTTCCGGACTTCGTTATCGCAAGCTCGGTATCGGAAAACCAGCCCATTGGCACCCTCGTGACCAAAGTCAAAGCCACCGACGCAGATGCGCCTAACAGTGACGACTCCAGGGTGGGATACTCCATCAAAGGCGGAGACGGTCTCGGATTCTTTTCCATCGACGCTGAAGGTGAGTTCTCCAATTTACTATTCACACAAATCAAAAATTTCTAGAATAAGTTTTTTTTCTCTAACTCATAAAATGGAAGAAAACGTGCTTTAAACCCTATAGAAATAAGCAAAGACCGGATTTTTGTGCAATAAAATGGAAAATGTGTAATGAAGGTAAAAATTCTCATTTGACGTAGTAAAATTTTTAATTAAATAACAAAATTAATTATAATCTTAAACATTGTTTATTTCATAATCAATCGATTATAAACTACATACTCATTTTTCAAACACATCCTGTACAAATATACAATTTAATACAAAAATATACAATTAGATATGATATTAATAAAGTAAGTTTTAACGTTTATAAAATATGCAAATTAATGTTTTCATAGTAATTCACCACCACAGAGTTGATGTGGTAAGTTTTTTCTGACAGGTTTTCTCCAGTCATCGATAATGTTTTCCAAAAAGAACGATTAACTTTACAACTACGCTTTTTAATGGGCATTGTTTGTGTAACATAGTTTTGCTGCGAGCTTTGTAAAAAAAATGCAATTTTGCAACTGATGGAACAAAGCGATGTCGAAGATAAAACTATTTCCTGGAAAATTCCAGGCCGCCTAAATTAAAATTATATTTTTAAATGTTGTTTCATGCGTAAAAAATTATCTAAAAATTAGGGATAAAGCTGCAGTTTTGTGCAAAATAAGAATATTGTAAAAAAAACTCTCTTTTCAAAATTAAAAAATTAACACTTACTTTCGACTAGTTAAATATTGCACGGAAATCCGGTCTTTAGAAACAATTACGCCCAATCTATAAAAAAAAATTAACAAGCGATCAAACACTATCTTTCCAATACAAATTCCAAACTTTCCAGTTCTTTTAAAGCCAAGATAAAAGATATATCGATGAATCTATTTTTACTTCTTCATCTTTAGAAACAATTTATGTTAAAGTTTCAAGTGATTTCCACATCATTAAAAGTTACTTTGCCTTTTATTCAATAAAGGATTGGCCTTTTAATTAAAATTCCTTCTGTTCACCAAATTCCAAGCAAACCGTTTTCTAAACATTTAAACGTATACTTAGTATATTATCTACCTATAGGCTGAAAACCGACGATGCTGGCGAAGTGCATGCCTTCAAACCTGCTTAAGTAATTAAATTTTAACCAGATCGCTAGATGTAACTTGACTAAAAAAATGCTCGTTCACCCCAAAAAAAATTTCGCGAAATAAATCTTTATAATTTTAGCGTAGGTAGTTGTTTAGTTCTTTCTATGTGCTTTATTTTTATTATACCGTATGATATAATAAATTATCCAAGTGTTTGTAACATTTAGAAAAAATGGTAAACATATTAATCAATTTTAGCTTTTTTTTTCTTCGCCGAACCCCCTGATAAGGATCAGAAATTGCTATGAGGAAGGTTGGAAAATAAACGTGTCGAGTCTGCAATATTGCACTGCTACTAAATTAGGTTCGCCATACTTGTTTGCGTTTGTTTTTATTACGTTTGAAAGAAGAAGTTGTGCTCTCTTTGAAGCAATTGTTTGTTTTTTTAACCTCTTAAACCAATGCTTAATGCATGGTGGGACTTGACTCTGTTCTTTGCGAGATATCTCTTTTTTTAAGTACTTTATTTGCCCCCAAACGCCCGGTATTTTTGATGGCTTAACATTCCTTTGAGTTAGAAGAAGCTTCCTGCCCCGACTTGAAAGCTGCCTGTCGCACCTCGTTTATATTTCGTAATCATTTTTACCCTCGTTTTTGATATATCTTTATGGATTCGCATGCCTTTTTAGGGTAACTTTTATTTTCCGTTCTTTATAAAATCCAAAATCTATTCTAAACGTAAATAAAAAATAACTAAAAGTTGTATTATTTGTTTATATAAACTACATCTAGTATTGTGAAATCAAATATTAATCTATTTACTACGTGACTTTACTTTCCTTCCAGAGTATTTCTTTTTTCCTTTCCTTTTTTCGTCCTAATTTATGTGAGTTTATTTTAACAATAAAGACAAGACACCATGTTACACTAGTGTATCGAAGGTATATTTTATAAGAGCAGGTGGGTTTTATTGTTGAGGCTGACTGTGTGTGACAAAGCGTGGCCTCACGTGCCTTAGCAGCTTTTTCGCGAGCAGTGGTCTCAAAGCCAAGAAATAGGAATTTAGTATTCTACAAGCGTGACGCAGCCCATACAAACGCTCGCCTGACCTTAAAAAAATCAACCTGGGTTTAATGTAAACATGGTATCACATATAGATTTTACTATGAGAAAGCCAATTGGAACAGAACGTCTCTGGCATTGACTTAGTGACTCCAAAGGGAAACGAATTGGCGCTTCCGTCCGTAAAATGCCAGTAGATGGCAGCCTGTAGAGAACAAAAGATGCCGTAGTTTACCTTTATCACAATACAGTTAGGAGGAGGTCGTGTTATGGTCTGGGCAGGAGGTATTTATGCTGGAGGCCTTACCTTATCGACAATGATTGTTCCACCTAACGTATTGTCAGACATAGAGGAAGACTAGCTCGGCACCTACGGCTTGCTTCAACATACATGGAATGGAACAAAAACAACTTAAAACAAAATATTTTTGTGTGAAATCGTAAAAAAAGCTTCAGCTCACCGCAGTCTTCAAGACTAAAATTACAAAATAAATAAAATATGTATGAAAAAACACTATATTATTGGATTGCTTTATTTTTTACAAGTGAATACAAGGGAATTTTATTATATATACTTATATTTTAGACCTTTAATGAAAAATAATATTATTTAATCTAAGAATTTATTTATGAATATTCAGCATAAAGGCTTAAAAAATTTATCAACTTAAGTTTGAACCCGTCGTTAGAACCCTCGTTGAACCTTGTTCAAGTTGATCAACTGAAGTTTGAACCTGTTTTGAAAACCTTCGACGAGTCGTGTTCAAGAGAGTTGATCAACCTTTGGTTTGAACTACTAGAGTTTGAACTAGTGAGAACCTTCGTCGAACCTTGTTCATCGTACGGCAGAAAAGTGGAACTAAACTTTGAACCAGTTGGTACATGACTTGAAACATGTAAACAGCCGTGATTGTCTAATTTTACACTACACCTGTTGTTTTGAATTTATAAAACAGTTTAAAAAAATTGATCCTTCAATGGAGAGGAGCCAGTTGACATGAATTGAAACATGTAAACATCCATCATTGTCCAATTTTACTCTACACCTGTTTTTTTGTATTTATAAAACAGATTTAAAAAAATTGATCTTCGAATGGAGAGGAGCCAGTTGACATGGCTTGAAACATGTAAAATCCATGATTGTCCAATTTTACACTACTCCTGTTGTTTTGTATTTATAAAACAGTTTAAAAAAAAGTTGAGCCTCCAATGGAGAGAAACAAGAGGAAAAAGAGTTTTATCATAAGCATCACAAAGTTTAGACTCACCTATTTATGCAATTTTTGTATATATTATAAAAAATACAGATTAGAGAGAAACTGTTATAATGTTATAAAAAAATTCCAGATTCACTATTGCAAATATTTTCCTATTTCCTCGGAATACCAGCCTACAATTGTTTGCTAGTGTGCTATTCACCAGTTATCATTTTTCAGACCTTATTAATAAAAATAATACATATCATGTGTAAGTAAGGTATGAATAAATATTGTGCCTAAAGGGGTTAAAAATTAAATTGAAAAGATGCTCTAAACGGTGAATATTTTAGTATGAGGACGAGTAAAAAAAAAAAAAAAAATGACCGTTTGAAGAATTAAAATTAAATTTATTTTACATATCCAGGAAATTATTTTCGATCTCGTAAATATAGCCCATCGTACTCGTTGGTTAATTGGAATCTAGAGGCCACCTGTTCAATTTCCCTGGGGGCAACACTCTTCGGTAACGATTGTAAAAATGTTTTACCTTTTTAAACGCATGAAACGTTTTTCCAATGAGCATGTGAGCCCTTGCTCGGAGGTCGTAGTAGTACGAAGGGGCAAGATCAGGAGGGTTAAAAATCAAGATTTCTTCGATTCCAGGCGGAAAATGTACGCCCGGCCGCCATTTTTGACACAGAACTTACACATTATGTAGTAGTTGTTTCGAATATATCTCAGAATTTATAGAACCATATGAATGTTTCGTGTTGTATATGAATGGCGCAGATATTCCTATTGGAGGTATTAATGTCCTAATATATGTTGGGCATGGCGTCAGTCAACTTAACGATCCTTTTTTCTATTATGATCAATTAAAATTTCAAGGGTTTTGTCGGAATTCGATCCCTAAATCACTAGAGTGGGAAATCGGCGTCCGAAGCCCTAACCATTCGATCACTGCAGTCCATGTAAGAATGGGCGTATTGTATTATTGGTTTTATTGGTCGGATATTGACATATTTGTTTCGATTTGACCACAATAAGGAAACGGCTATGTCGCTAATAATTCAAAAGTTGCAAACCTTTCCTGTAAAACTCGCTCAGACGAGGCCATATGTTGAATGAAATAAAAATGAAAACAGGGAAGAAAGAAAGCGCACGCCTAACAGGTTTTTCTCAGAGAAGTGCAAATCATATTCCCAAGATTAATTTGGTTTCTGTTGATCTCGACATTTCATTTATTTTTAAAATGGCATCCAATACCTTTTCGAGCCAAGGTATTGTACGACAATTAATAGATCTCAATGTTCAGTGCTTATTCCCGGCGAGTCCTGTTTTTATTTATTTTTGTGTTGTTCGTTTCTATCGATAGAAAACCTGTATTGATGGTGGTGTAGAACCAATATAACTCAAAATTGCACAAATCCGCTTGTGTGCTTGGAACGTAGTGTTTTATTATTGCATACAGTCGATCAGGATGTCTAGGGATCGAACTTCTGAACTCTCGACCTAATAGACTCTATTGCGACCATGATGATTTAATTTCAGCCAAGTTCATATTGAATAATGGAGTTTTTATGAGGATGAACAGCTATAGAAAAGGGGCCTCCTTGGTAAATCACCTTTTGTCGGCTTTCTAACTGATTGAAAGCTAGCCATTGAGAAGATTTTCTGG